ATATTGACTTGCTACTTTAAAGTATTTCATTTAATGATCCATTCTATAGTACAAACTACATTATGATTATTATTTTAATGAAATTAATTACATGGTTTTTCTACAAGTTTAGATCTACACGTATTATGTAGAATAATGTTTACTTATCCGAAATACCTCTATAGAAACTAAATTCTTATTTAATATTCTTCATATGAATATTTAGTTATTTTCGACGTCGTTTAATTTCATATGTAACGAAAGTATTACTAAGTAGACAATCTAATTGTTATAATATTCTGTAGTTTTGAACAATGACAATTATACTTGATTGACTGTTAGAATAAAGAATAGTGTGAACTCATGTCTGGGTGATTGATTGGAAAAAATGTATTTCAGTTGTGAGCAGCTGGTGATTACTCATTAAAATCAAACCGAAAGTGTTTAGACAAATAGGTGTATAAGATATGATATGCGACCAACTAAAATAGCATATTTGTGTGCAAAATATAAACAAAATAAACATTGTTTGAATTTGTGTACAGTATGACTTACTGGCGTATAATAATATCTGAAGATGATTGACTATCTAGCGAATTTGAAACTTCTAATATCGACCCTTTTTCTACGCTCTGTGATTATAATAGTTTGGATGAAAATTGACCTGTACTTTACCAACTTTCGGAAATACTGCCTTAAAATACTGAAAATTATGGAATACTGTAGATAGTTTTAGTCACATTTGATGGATTCATTGAGACAAATATTAAGCTGGGTAAATACTGTAAACTATAAAGGGATATATTTCGTACTATGGTTACTTACCTGTTCAAATTGTCACTTCTTGCACCTAGTATATCAGTAGTTTTCTACAGGATAGGAATGAATGTTTTTGTATCTTTTGAACTGGTGTGGAATTTTAAATTTAGCCTCTTGAACGTCACTCGGAATTTACTCTTACTCTAGACTATACAATATTGGTCATCCATTTTATTCTTTGTTATTATATAGATATTTATACATATATGTATTAAACCGAAGTTTTTGAAGTAAATTTTATCGCATGGTAATGTTGGTTGGAGAAAAACAACCTAGAGAGTGTATTGAATACTGAACAGCTGTTTGGTTTTGAATATCACATATCATCTTTAAAATAAATAGATCATTGTACTTTAACCGAACAGATAGAAGATAGAATTCAAGCCTCATGATTAGTTCGTAAATATCGCCCGATGCAGATAACACTGTCTAGTTTCATAATAAGACGAGACAGCTGTTAATTAATATTCCAATATATATAAGTATTATGAGAGCCAACTTTCAGTAAACAAATTTATTTAAATCAGCTAAGCAGATCTAGACGAAAATAATTCACCTGTATCATTTGTATTTATCTGCATACACAATTTATAAAATTTATCATAGGCGACCATATTTACCGTGTGATATTTACATCTTTATGGTCTGATTTGCAAAGTTACTATCTAGGTTGATTTGATTCACCGCTTGCAGATCTTATCAATTTTCGTTATCATGATTAATCGACGCGACACTGTTAATATTATTAACTAAACAATCTACAATGGTCAGGAATTTGCATTTGCAACTTCAATCTATATGTGTATTTTGTATATAAATGTGGAACCCTGAAACATGCTTTATAAGAGTTAATCTTGTATTTTTGTTGAAAAGCATTGAAAAATAGAAACATATTAATTGTTTCAAAAGCAGTTAGTGAGTAATTAAACATAGCATCACTATGACGGTTTGCTATAGTATGTTCATATGATATTCATTCATTTAGAATTTGCATAATCACCATTTTTAAATAAGGGTTTCAAAACATCTTAAAATGTATTAGAATCTAGTATTAAATTTTCCCTTTTTGGAAGTCATCTAATCATGTAAAAACAGTCAGTAGAACCTCTTATCAGTACACATAAATTTATAGCCATATTACAAAAACCCTATTATGATATGAACTTTGCCCAAACTTAGTCTCATCAATATATTTTGGTAAATGACTAGTTACTAGAATGTAACTAATGTAATTCTGTATGCCTCACAATACTAGTCAATCTGAAGGAAGCGCAGATTCCCGAACACACTTGATTCTGTGTTTCATAATTTCGAAATACAAAAGTATCATCGTTATTGATTTCATATTATTCTGAAAACAATATTTGAAATTTATGTTCAACTAGTTATTTGTTTTTCATTAAAATAGCTTCCAGCATTATCTTCTATTTAAATATATATAATATTTCAAATCAGTATTGATTCAAAGAAATTTATGATACCTTTTTTATTTAAAAATAACCTGTAAATTTTAGATGCTGTTTATAGCTTTCAAGTATATTTGATTAATTTAATCCAATCAGGAAGCTATTTGCTTCAATTTTTCTTTTTCTAAAATACTTTATCAATTCTTACCAAATATTTTCAGTAACTTAAAAACATGTGTTAATGTTCTATCAGAATCACAGATTGGAAGTTATATAAGTTGTTTAGTAGTTATAAAATAATGTGATTATACGTATCTTCTTTAAAGGTTTAACAAACTGGCATGTAATCTAGCTGAAACATTTATTAGTGCTTAAAATTGGTTCATTGGTATTTGTTTTACCAATATTTAACAATACTTACTTACGCTTGTTACCCCTCATGGAGGAGCGTAGGCTACTCACCATCATTCTCCATTCAACTCTGTCCTGGGTAATCCTTTACTATTTTTCCAGTTGCTATTCATCCTTTTCATGTCTGCTTCCAATTCTCAACGAAGTGTGTTCTTTGGTCTTCCTCTCTTCCGTTTCCTTTCAGAAATTCGATTTAACGCTTGCCTCATGATGCAGTTTGGTGATTTTTGTAATGTATTTCCTACACACCCTGAGCGTCTTTCCCTAATTTCTCTTTCAGCTAGAAGCTCGTTTGTTTTCTCCAGCAGTAGGCTGCTGCTAATGATATACGGCAGACGGACATTGAGTATTTTACGTGGAAAATTGTTTATCTTCTTGATGATTATTGTAGTAGTTCTTCATGTTCCAGCTCCGTACAATAGAACTGTACTGACGTTTGCATTGAAGGTTCTGACTTTGATATTGCTTGACAGTTGTTTTGAGTTCCATATGTTCTTCAATTGTAGAAATGAGGCCCTTGCTTTGTCAATCCCTCCCTTGACATCTGCATCTGATCCTCCATGTTCATCGATGATTCTTTCTAGGTACGTGGAAAATTCCACATCATCAAGAACTTCTCCATCAAGTGTGATTAGGTTGGTGTTCTCCGTGCTTTATTTTAGGATCTTGCGTTTTCCTTGTGAATGTTAAGGCCTACTGCTGCAGATACTGCTGCTTCACTGATTGTTTTAACCCGAACTTGTTTATATGTTTGGGAGAGAAGGGCTAGGTTATCTGAAAAGTCCAAATCGTTTAGTTGTATCCAACCTGTCCATTTCATTCCGTGTTTCCCCTCAGATGTGAAAATCTCTATAATCTAGTCGACCATCAGACGAAAGAGAAAGAGGGATAGTATGCAGCCTTGTCTGACTCTAGTCCTCACTTTGAATACGTCTTTCAGCTGTCCTTTGCAATGTAATCCGTTGTATGAGTTCTGTGTGATGTTGATGATCTTTTCATGTACTTCATAGTGTCAAAGAAGTTTCCATAATGTTTTCTTATCCACATTGTCAAATGCTTTTCCATAATCAGGGAAGTTAATGTGTAGTGACGAATTCAACTCAACTAATTGTTTAAGGATGATCCGTAGTGTAGCGATTTGGTCTGTACACCACCGATTTTTACAGTATCCAGCCTGTTGATATCAAAGCTAAGCGTCTACTGAATTTTTCATCCGGTTCGGCAACAAGCTGTTGTAAGCCTTTCTTGGTACTGACAGCAGTGTAGTGCCAATGTAGTTCTCAAATTTGTTCAAATCTCCTTTCTTTGGTGTCTTATTGAGATGTCCTTCTTCCCAGTCTGTTAGTGGCCTTCGTCCCTTTCTTTAGCTTCAATTTCAAATCGGCAACCAACAGGTCGTGATCTGAAGCTACGTTAGCCCCTTCTTCTGTTCTCGCGTTTTCCACTACATTCTGATGCTTTTAGTAATGCAATTGTGATCTGACTGATTCTCCATGGTGTGGTCTGATGAGACCCACATATCTTTGCGTGTGTGTTTGTAGGAAAATATAGTGCCACCAAATATTTAGCATAATTTTGTTTTTAAACTAATTAGATAATTTGGATTACATTTCGAAGACTTATTATACTTCTATGTCTTACTCTACCGATAGGATATTGACTAATATATAGATAGTTTCAACAGTTGAGATCATGAATCAATTGAAGCTAGACCACCATGGAAAACCTGGAAGCACTGGACGGCCGTTTCATGATTCATGATCTCAACTATTGAAATTACTACAATCTCCACAAAACCCCTTCTGATACTAATCAACATATGCTCACTAGTGACTGGCTACAAGAAGTATATCCTGAAGTTCTAGTGAGAAGCAATGACCACCGGAGTTCAACCGATTCAGTTGTGGGATAGAAACTCACTGATGACAATGGTAGATGTGTAGCTCAACTTCATGGATTGGTTGAAGTTAGACATTAACACCGTCAGGTGTCGGCTCAGTGGTCTAGTTGGTTAAGCGCATAGCGCGAGACTGATAGGTCCTGGGTTCGAATATTGCGGGGTGCAGGATCGTGGGTGCGCACTGCCGAGGAGTCCCATACTAGGACGGAACGGCCGTCCAGTGCTCTCAGGTTTTCGATGGTGGTCTAGCTTGAATTGACTCATGATTTCAACCTGTGAAATAATTATTCATTATATTACATCTTCTTAAAGAAAATCTTATAAGATCAATAGAATAAAATATAATAATACTTTATAATAACTTTTTTCTAGGAAAATGTTGATATTTTATAGACTTAAACTGATAAATTATTCTTTTTTCCTCAATTATTCATTATGTTCTTTTTTTAATTCTCATTTTTTTATTCAATGTTCATTAATTATAGACGTAAAGAAATGTATCATAAAGAAGTATCATAGAAATAATTCACTTCAACGATGTTTGATGAATAATTCTTTTGAGGATTTGAATAATACATTACTATATCATCCACTATACGTTAATACCACTAATAATAATAATGATAACAATAATAATGAATTAATAAATTCCGATAATAAAACGTTACTGAAAATTCAAAAAGTAAGTGATATTTGCTTGAACTAACATTTTTGTTTTCTACTTTTTTCTTAAAAGTTACTAATTTAGTGACATAACTTCTAACAAATAAATGATTGGATACTTATTATCTGTTATCATAAAGAAATAGGTTACTTTGGACAATATATTATATATACCTTGACGTGGTGGTCGGGCTTACCTATCGTGATAAAGCAACCGAGCTATACTGGCTGGAACAACCGTTCATCGAGGTCCTACCATGTCAGACAGGGCGGTTGATGGGCGGTCAGAATAAAAGCAACAAACCCAATGTTCGAAGGCAAAGTCGTACTGCTGACTGTACAGAGGTGTGACAGCAGTAAGGTTTTTCCTTCAGACAACCAGTATAACAGCGATTCTACTCCCCCACAAGGAGGTGTGGGGTTAGAAAGGGTCTCAGGGTATTAGCGAATGATGGCAAATCAGTTGATGAGATTGTTAATCTTCATCGACTGAGATGGTTGGGCAACGTGTTGCGTATTCTTGAACATCGATTAGCACGACGTGAAACGCTGACCGGTGTTGGGGATGGTTGGAAGAAAGTTGGAGGCGGCCAAACAAAAACATGGCATCAGTGCTTGAAGTCACTAACTTCTGGTCTGAGCCATGTTGGTAGATGCAGTCCACTTGGTTAGAGTTCGCGCGACTATCATAACCAATTGTTTGGAGACTCTTAGTGACATGGCTCAGAATCGATCACAATGGCGTAGGTGTGTGCACTCCCTGTCTTCCCTTAAACTATGAGATTAAAATCGCTTCATATCTTTCTACGAACTAATTCTTTATTCTTGTACCATATCTATACTATATATATATGCAATCTTTCTGTTATACATTACCACCTCTGAATTAACTACTATATATATATATATATATATATATATATATATATATATATATATATATATATATATATATATATATATATATATATATATATATATACATAATTGACGAATAGCTTGTGCTCATTAGAATTTCTGAGTAAAACGACCATCTTATTAGAAATTTAATACAGATGTTAATGTGTTTTTCCACTATATATTTTCATAGTTTCATTATATTGATCAAGCAACATCTGATCAGTGAAGATGATAAAGTATACTTAGTTTACTCGTTCATCTTTTAAATAGAAAGAACACAGACTTAAGCATGATAAAATGAATTTATTTTATCTTGTTAGGTTCTCTGTCTTCAATTATTTCCAACCTATAATATTTCAAAATCAAAATCTTTGTTATAGTTAACACATATGTATACCAGTGAAATTGGTCAAATATGCAGTGCAATTCGAATAAAGTTAATAGTTTGTATTTCGATCATCTCTCCTCTTAACCTGATTTTTGACTTCATATTTGTTTTATAATTTGTTCAATTGACTTATAAGTTTTGTCTGTTTTAATACGTTTATTGATTGCTGAGCCTCAAAAGCTCTCTGGTATTGTCTATGTTACTTCTGTTCGAGATTTCAATGTTGTCTCAGTCAAATGAACGTTCAGGGTTTTTCAAATGTAATGATATAGGTAGAAGTACGTCATGGCGTTCAACAATCAAGTAGTATTCATGTAAATGAAAATGAACGGAGTAGTTAGTTTGTCCTATATAATGTCTGTCTCAGTTGGAGCAGTTTATTTTGTTGATGGTTTCTTTGAAATTTACTCATTAAGTTTATATGATATTAATGTGATTTTGTTGGCTTATGAGTAACTTCTATTCCTAAAAGCCTCAACTGTATGGCCTTACTTTGTGATGTACCTTTCATCTATGGCAGAATAATCTGATTGTTAGTTACCATAATTTGTATTGAAATGATAAGTTCGACAAACGTTTTTATGAAGTTTTTTATTTTGAAAAGGAGTCCTTAGGTTTCTCCGTTCACTTTTCCTTACAGCAAGTGTGATATAGTGTGTCTTCAGCTTTTTTGTAGGGTGTGGACTCTGATGCTTTTATAAGTCCTTTACGCTGAATGATTTATACACTGGAAGCTTTTATGATGTGATTACTCAACTAAGTGGAGTGAAACTATTAAATTTTCTTTGAAGTTATGCGTTTTGTAAGCGTTAGCAGGAATCCACATTGGGTTTGAACTTTGTTATTTTCCCCAAAGGCTACCATTTAAATATTCGACGTTCGGCAGGCATATTACCAGTATAAAAGTTTAAACTAGTTGTTTACTATGTTACATCAAAATTTTTTAATAAGCTGAACACATTCTGACTTTTTCACTACTAAAGTATGACCCTGTCGTAAAGATACAAATTCATGGTTATATTACAATGTCTTCAAAATGGTATCAGATTTCATTAAGTCATTACGCGGCATACAGAACCAATCGTTAAAAGTTTACTTATTGATCATAAATATAAATATGATTAACGCATATATTCTTAAAACTATTTCTTTGATAAATATTAAGATTATGTAGATTCAAATTAATACCCTTTAACATCTAGGTGTCCATGTATGATGCTTTTGTTTCTCAGTAGTGAATGAGACAAATATGTTCTGTATTTAATGAATTAGAATTTACTTTCATTAAAATCAAATAGTATAAAATAATCAGTTATTTTATACACTTTAAATTTTAACCAGACTATCAAGTTTGTTTAATTTTTCCGCTTACATTATGAAGTATTACTCGTTTGTAGAACAAAGATTTATCACATGGTGCGTTATACCTTACAATTCTAAATGCAGATTATTCACTACAAAGTATTACCTACTGATCAATAATTTATTAGGGTAAATGAATTTTGATCCACGGTTATATTGATTTCCATAGCGGTTCAATCGATTATGTCTGACGATTTTAGTGTAAAACTTGAGTCTAAAGAGCACTATGACGATTGACTCATAGTTTACAAATTTTTGTAAATTTTTACAAATTGAAGTGAACGTTTACGAAAATGAAAGTAAAGTGTTTATAAACTTCGGTAAAATGGTAATTTGATTGATTTGTCAAAACGTGTATTTTCATAGAATAAATGCAATGAAATCCAGAACACGAGTTTTATTCTATTTAAGCCTTATCAGCTAGGTGCACCTGCACCCTAGAGTACACGTCCACTACAAGATAAGAATCCAGTTCTGTTTGTTTTGAGTGATATCAAGTTTTTCTTTTAGGTACTGAATCTAGTTATCAACAATAGTATAATCCAAGTTATTTTAAATTGAATGTATTCTGTGTTAATTTCCACTTAGAAATGCATAATCATCTTGTTTCAGTTATTCTTCTCATCTTTCTTATCACGTTTTCCTCCTAATCCTTCTTTCTACTTTTATAATTGTACATTAAACGTTTATTAACCAGCCTAAGAATTACTTATTATATAAACAGGTAGTTAGCGATATTAGTTCAGTCAATAAGCTCAGACTTTAAAAATTAGGATAAAGAAGGAAAAATCTGAATGTGACAATCATAACTGTAATCAAAATTGAGTGATCACTAGGTAGCGATCAGTACCAGGCGTGCTACTTGGCACTCGTCAGCAAGGTGTACTAATAAGGACTAGACACGCATGACATTGATCACCACTCAGTGATCAATCAATTGTGATTATATCTCAGTCCTACAGGAAGTCGATCGTGGCTCGGATAGCTCAGTGGTAACGTCTCTGGCTGTGAAGCTGGGTAACATGAGATCGAATCCGCCAGGGAGCACCAGTTCCCTCAAGATTACGGGTGCACTTTGCTGACGAGTGCCAAGTAGCACGAAACCCCGGTCCAGGGTTACTTGTCGACTACCTACAACCACTATTTAATCACAATCATAACTGTACTATTAATAATAGTAAACGGTCCCTGATGAAATATTTATATAAACTTCAAATTGCCAATAAACGGAGTATATTTTTTTAAAACGTTTGAATTTATTAGGTTATATAATAGATATAAGTAAAAATATAAGAGAAATATTTCAGTACAGTTAGTAAGGCATTAGATCCTACAGTTATAAATTCAAATGAATGATCTAAAGAGGTAGTCATCTTTAAAGTAAATACATCTTTTAACAATTACAGAGTACTAGTATTATTATTGTTCATAATTCTTTATATTATAACCATCATTATTAAAGTTGTGAACATACAAAGAATTCAATGAATGATCATACCATTTTACTTTTTTCTTAAGTAATTTCTATCATTCTACAGATATTGTATTATTCAATCAAACATTTGATCTGATTTATAATTACATAATTATCATTCTCATCTTATATGATTCATATTTATTGTAATTAATATTAATTTCATAATTTCAATTAATGTATAAACCTATTCAATCTTAACATTATATAGCAGGTATTTCAGTAATATCAATAATTTTATGTTATATTAGAAACAATTCTAAATTCACATGTTGTAATTTAAAAAGTTTTATCTACCTTAAACTTGTCCATTCTTTTAGAATATTAGCTCAGATAGATAATTGTAGAGTGTGAGGTAAATTTATTAAAAAGCGTATTCATCATTTATACCTAAGTGTTTTGATATGATGACAATTTTCAAACAAATAAAGTATTTTAGTGGTCCGGTATCTGACTCCAATTATATTGTATGAATAATTGCTGTCGATATATATATCGTCCATTGTCGTTAGTGAATAACGAAATTAAATAAGCTAAATACGAGAATGGATTTTTGAATGCGTATATTTTGAACACTCATTGATTTGAACAGAAAATCAGAGAATCGCAGCAAATGAAGTGAAGAAGAGAGAGCGAAGCGAGATTAAAGGATGCACAGTGGAGCCAACTTCATTTAATCGATATTTATAGCCACATAAAAATAGGTAACAGACATATGATGAACAGGATAAGAAGTGTATACACATACGCTCATATAGAAACAGTCAGGGTTGATAAGCAAATAATTAACAAGGTGAAAACGTGACTCAAGAAGAATGGATAAATTGGCCTGTCCAGAAGCTAGAATAAGTTATATGGGTTTAACATAGTAATCGACACTACAATATGTATAAAG